TTATCATAAGTGGACCATCCAGCAGCTTTAGGCCCTAAGGCTTTGCTCATGTATGCAATAGGCTGTCCTTTTTGCATTAGGACTGCTCCAATTCCATATCCAGAAGCATCTGCTTCCAATACAAAGGGCAAGGAGAAATCAGGTAAGGCAAGAACTGGGGCAGAGGTCATTCTGTTCTTAAGTTGTTGGAAAGTAGCTTGTTGTGTTTCAGTCCAGATAAACCCATCCTTTTTCAAGGCATCAAATAGTGGCTTGCAGATCAGACCATAATTCTGAACAAACCTCCTGTAGTACCCAACTAATCCCAAGAAACTCCTCAAGTGTGTCACATTCTGGGGTGTGGGCCAGTTTAAAATTGCCTCTACTTTAGCAGGGTCTGTAGAAACTCCCTTGTCAGAGATCACATAGCCCAAGTACTCCACTTTGTTTTGTGCAAATGTGCACTTAGAGAGCTTTGCATACAATTGATGTTTTCTCAGTGCTTCCAGAACCAAGGCTACATGTTCCAAGTGCTCCTTGTATGTCTTGCTAAAGATGAGGATATCGTCAAAGAAAACTAGCACACAGTGTCTCAGAAGGGGTCCCAATACTGTGTGCATGAGTTCTGTAAATGTAGGAGGGCCATTGGTTACTCCAAAGGGCATTACTAGGAACTCAAACAGGCCTATGTGTGTGCTGAAGGCTGTTTTCTCTATGTCCCCTTCCTTCATTCTGATTTGATGATAACCACTCCTCAGATCCAGTTTGGTGAATATTTTTGCTCCATTAAGTTCATCCAAAAGATCCTCAATCATTGGTATAGGGTACTTGTTCTTGATGGTGTGAGTATTCAGTTTCCTGTAGTCAATGCAGAGTCTCCAAGTCATATCCTTTTTCTTTACTAGAATAGTAGGAGAGGAATATGGACTGTGACTTAGTCTGATAATTCCTTTATTGAGAAGATCTTTAATGATTTCCTCTAGAGCATTTTTCTGGTGATGTGGCAACCTGTATCCTCTCTGGTTTATAACTGGGGCTCCCGGCTCCAGGTTAATTGCATGGTCACATTCTCTTTGAGGAGGTAAACCAGTAGGCTCTACAAAAACATCCTTGAAGTTCTCTAAAAGTGTAGGAATTCCAGGTTTCTTGACAGAGTCATCTATGGTTTCAAGTTGCACTGGTTGCATCCACATCAGGGCTCCAATGAGCAAGTCATCCATTATGTTCTCCATATCTTGCAGTAAAGGAGTACATGGACTTGTGGGCAAGCTCTCATCCAAGAAGGTTATTTGTTTTCCATTTAGAAGTTTAATTCCAAGCTTCATGTTGGGCAGATCAAAAATAACAGGACTATGCGTAAACATCCAGTCAGCTCCAAGTATAATATCATATCCAGTAAGTTTCAACATCCTGAAATCAGACTTTAATTCCACCCCTTGGACAGTGTATTTGGTGTTGTAGAGAGAGAAGTCACTGTATAGCTTGCCCCCATTTGCAACAGTTACTTGCACTTGTTTCACTGGTGTGGCTGGGCATCCCGATTGTAAGGCTAGGGCAGGAGAAATGAAGGTGGTAGTACTACCACTATCCACTAAAGCCAGGCCTACAGTGTTTCCAATTTGGACCTGCAGAGTGAAAGTGTTTTTCTTTTTGTCTTCAGGTACTCCTGTAACAGCATGCATAGAAATTTTGAGCTCTTGCTGATCAGGAGGCTCTTCCTCCCCATCTGACTGTACCTCCTCTGCATCTACTATGTAGATGATGTCAGGATTTTCTGCTTGTTCTTGTAATGCTTGAATTTGAGCTTTCTGTGACAGTTTGCACACCTGCTTATGTCCTGGAAACCATGGCTCTCTGCATTTATAACAAATGCCCTTTTCTCTGGCCTGTTGTATAACAGTAGCAGGTGATGTACTTGCAGGGATCACAGGTTTCGAGATTTCTCCTGGAGTTCCTCTTCTGTAATTTGGCACATAGGACTTGTGAGTTGTAGTTGCAGGACATGATTTCTCAATTCTTCTAGCTAACCACATAGCTTTGGTCATGTTAGTAGGTTCTAAACATTCCAAGTGACTTTGGATATAAGGATTCAGACCTGCAATGAAACTATGCATGTAATAGTCATCTGGTACTACAGGGTTGTCCCTTCTCATCAAGTTCATGTGCTGCTCGAAATCAGCTATATACTGAGCAACTGAAGTTTGCTGAGTTAACTTGTGGAATGCTTTCACATTTTCACACACCGATGTTATGGCAAATCTTTGTGTAATAGCAGAGCAGAACTTGTGCCAAGGGGTGTGATGAGCAATGAACCCAGTACCTCTCCACCATTGTATGGCCTCTCCCTTCAAATAGGAAACAATTATCTCAGTCCTCTGTTCAATTGGTGTTCTTGCAGCTGAGAAGTATTGTTCAATGTTTTGTATCCATGAGTCAGCATCCACTCCATCAAATTCAACAATGTTTAATTTTGCAGGTTTAACACTCATAAGATTTCTTCTGACTTCAGGAACATAGGGTCTGTTTCTTTCTCTTCTCCCCTATGCTTCAGGCAATTCCTCTACTGTCATAAATTGTCTTATGACTTGTCCTTGTTGCTGTGGAGGTGTGATGAATTCCTGCTTATTAACATCATGGTTAGGATGCCTATAAGGTCCTTTAGGAGTGCCATCCATATTTAGTTCTCTGCCTGTAGCTTTGTCCACCAGAACAGCAGATCCGACAGTTGCAGGCTCATGTTTATCAGGAGGAAAATGGTTGTTCGGCAGCTATTTTGGTCTCCCTGGAGGAACCACTATGCTTCCTTGGCCAGATAATGGATCTGGTCTTTCTTCCTCCTCTTCGTCTTCTTCCCCTGTTTGTTCTGCAGTTAGCTTCAGCAGGGTGGTCTGAATTTTCTTGAAATTCTTCTGTATGCTAGCGAAATTCTTGTTCACCGAATCTGTGAAATCATAGAATTCCTTTCTGTCTTCCTCTCTTTCTCGCCGGAGTGTTTTTATGTCAAGTTGCAGCGACTCAAGCTCCAAACAGTCAGTGTCTTGCGTCTCACCTGCCATGTCTTCCGGGTTTTTGTTGGTCATTCCTTGCAGATCTGGTCCAAGGGCGAAACTTGAGAAGAACAGAAGGAATTTTACACCGGTGGCCCGGAAACCCACTACTTGGAACCGATTTCACTCATCAGATCTGACAGAATAGCGCCTCAAGAGCAACAGCCTGAAGGGAGGGTTGGGTGGGATTTTGCACTGAAGAAAAGTTCTTCAGAAACCACGACTCCACCTTCTGCTGCCGATCGATCCTCCACCGCCACTCGCCGTTGATACTGCCGCCGCGCCGGTCGAGAGGCCAGATCGGATCTGGGCTCGGATTCCGCCTCCAAGGACTACAACCTACGCTCTGTATACCACTTGACATGACCTAGTTAGGGTCGTCTCTGAATTTGCACACAATTGGAAGGAACACAGGAAATTCGGTGGGAAATTTGGGGGGTCGATGGACTCAGATCCGAACCAGGAAGCTAGGTTTTCGCCAACCGGAACACGGCGGCTACAAGGGCCAAGCCCGGAATAATTCAGCGTGCCCCTCTCCACAAGCCGGAGGGGGTTATATAAAGCAAAAATTCAGGTAAAGTAGATAGCGACAGGTTCGACAGGTAAAAGGACAGCGCGGTAACTTTTAAAAAGTAGAGCAAAACGATTCCAGCCGTCCAGATGAAGATCAACGGCTGAGGACACCCTTAAACGGCGAAGCGGTAAGTACTTCGCCTCGCCGCCCGATCACAGATCAACGGTCCGAGCTCCTCCAGACAAAACTCACAGCACTGTGGATTATCAGATGAACTTCAGCTTTGGACAGGCCTGACATGCCTCCACATGGATCCGCCCCTGCGTCTGCCTGTCTAGCCTCCAGCGCTCAAAGTCGCCCAGCCGGCGAGCCTCGTTGTCCCTCGACCAAGGCACTCCCTCTGCCTGTCCGGTGCTTGCCCGGGGTGGGGGAGAAGGAGCCGGGGTGGGGAACCGATGAGGTGGGGCTTGAGGGGCACCCCTGACGGCGTGGAGGAGGGAGAGGTGGAGGGAAGCAGCAGGAGCAGAGGGAATTGGGAGGGCGGCGGCGGCAGTAGGGATGCGGACGGGAATGGGCTAGGGTTTTTCTTGCGACGACCGAACGAGCAGGGAAAAATGATAAAACAAAATGAGAAAATCAGCCCAGTCCCTTGTGGCCACGTGGACGTCGCGAGATGGCGCTCCTTACGCGACTGTTAATGGGTTGTATGGGGTGACATTTCTAAAAAAGAAAATAGGCAGCAGGCGCGCGTTGGGCCTGGCCCATCCAGCATTCCTCCACCGCAGGCCGCAGATATATAATGGTCATCCCACCCCCAACCTAGGGTTAGGGAGGAGAAAGGAGAGAGATTGTAGATCAGAGATGCGCCGGTCGCACCGCCGCCAGCCTTGTGCCGAGCTCCTCCGCCGTCGCCGCCTCGCCACCCAAGTGGTCCTCGTATGAGGATCGGGCCGTGTTCCAGTCGGGGCGAGGAAATAAGCAGCTCCAAAGTTTGGAGCTGCAATTTAGAATCGAGAAGTTCTTTTCGGAGCGGCAATCCGCAATCCAGTCGGGGGGAGGAAATAAGCAGCTCCAAAGTTTGGAGCTGCAATTTAGAATCGAGAAGCTCTTTTCGGAGCGGCAATCTGCAATCAAGCGGCTCCTTTCGGAGCGGCTGTCCGCAATCAAGCAGCTCATTTTTGAGCTGCAATCCGCAATCAAGCGGCTCCTTTCGGAGCTGCAGTCCGCTGTCAAGCGGCTCCTTTCCGTGCCGCCATCGACGCAATCAAGCGTCTCCGAATTCGACTAGATCTCTTATTTTCTAGAATAAGATCGACTACATCTCTTTTCGGTCTCCGAGTTGCCACGGTCTTCCAGGCTGAACCCAAGCCGCTATATATATCTGTCCAGGACGCCCCGGCAGTCATCAGATCTCGAAGCAGAACCGCAAGTCCCGAGCTCGGTTGACCTAGACGGGAGCCATGGAGGTGAGTTCCTTGTCCTCTCCTTCCTCTGAATATCTTTCTTTGTTATAAGACATTCCGTCCTCTAAAACCAGGCATCAAAACTCAATCTTTCACACTGAATCAAAATTGCTTCTCTGAGCATACCAAAAATTTACTTTCGGTGCAGTAAAATGAAATAAAATAAAATAAAGCATGTATATCTTTTATAACTTAATCAAAAGCTGCATCTTTGCTTCCTTGAAAAAAGCTGCTAAAACTTGAATTATCTCAGGGGAGCCATGGAGTTGAGTTCATTGTCCTTTCGTTTCAGCTAGGCCCATTCATAGTTGCTTCATTAAAACTTGAATTTTTTTACGGGAAAGTTATCAAGTTTGCATCTTCTGGACTACATTAAAATGGCATCTTGGGGCTGAATCAATTTTTTTTTTCACAATTGCAATTATTTTGTGGAAAAAAGTATTTCAAGTTTGTATCTCCACATAAAAATTCGATCCATGAGAATATCAAAAGTGTGTTTTTGACTAGTGCGAAATCAACTCTGCTTTGTTCCCATGCCAAATGCAAAAAAACAACGGAGATGATAGAATCAGCACCTTGCCCAGTGACATTCTGGTCAACATTCTTGACCGACTTGATGTCCGTGAAGCTGTGAGAACCAGTATCCTCTCCAGACGGTGGAGTCAGCTCTCTTGCAAGCTCTCACGACTTATCATAAATGCTCAGCCTGATGGTGTGTCTAGCTCCAACATCTCTGATGGTGACTTGGTTCGGATCAATGCAGCTGTTGTTGAAGCGACAAAGAGCTTACTGACCCGCAGATATCCAGGCGAAGACACCATCAGCCTCCTGTCTACCACGTTCTACTTGAGAGGTGATGCCCCCATATCCATTGGACATGCTGTTGGCAGCGCCATGATGACACACAAGATTGAGGAAGCTGAATTCACAGTTTTGACAGTGAAGAATCGCCTATATTGCACTCTTGATGATGTGTTGAACTATGGGACACAGTTTGTGTCATTTTTTAATGAGTGTCTGAATGCATTTACTGGTTTGACGCGCCTCTACATGGAGAATTTGAGATTTGCTGAATCTGACTTCGTCTCCAACATCTTCGTCACTTGCAAGCGATTAAAATATTTAGGTTTTCTCAATTGCGACACAAAGAAGCATTTAACACTCCAGGTCAAACACGCTCAACTAAGTGAGCTCAGTATGGTCAACTGCCGTTTTTACAAAGTCGAACTCAAGTGGCTCCCAAGACTCACTCGGACAACGTTCACATGTTGGATGGCTTTTGAAGAACTACCACTGTCATTTGGTCATGTCCCTCTGCTTGAGTTTTTGAACCTCACAAATATCGGTCTTAGTCGGAACAAAATGGTCATGTTAAGTACATTACTTTGTGAGACACACATACAAGAACTGCAATTGGGGTTTAAATGCGAAAAGGTAAGTTGTGATGATTGCTTTGTACTGGCTTCACTTGTTCTCTACTCATCCTATTATGTGTTCTCTTTTTTAAAGATCCATCATATTATGTGTTTATTGTTGTTTGCAGATTTGGGTTCAACCAGAGTGTCTGAGCGAAAGGCTGGCTTCTGCGTTCCACAGACTAAGGATTGTCAGTCTAGTTAGCATTCCTGAAGGGTCTGATCTTACGTGGACAATTTTCATTTTGGAAGCTGCGCCATCACTTGAAGAGTTGTACATGTCGGTATGTTCTTCTTACCTAAATCCACTTGTTCCTTTTTATATGGGTTTCTCTGCTACATGACGATCCTTAGAGCTTGTTCTATTCTTTTTTGTTTGACTTGCTCTATTACCCTTGCATGGTTGCACACACCTGTGGAGTACAGATGTCCTATGAGGGTCTAAACTAAGCTGTTCCTTTTACCTCTGTCCTATATATGGTTGGAGTGCAGGTAATTGATCATCCGTGTGAGATGATAATGGATAAGAAAAGGAGGACGGAACTCTTGCTTTGCGAAAAGAAGGGCGTCGAGTGGGAATCACCTAGATCAAATTTCAAGCACCGCCGCCTTGCCAAGCTCATCATCTTTTGCTTTGTAAATTGCATGGTGAGTTATGTCAGGCGTGTCATGAAAGCAGCGGTGAATCTGAAGGATGTGTACCTGTATGATAGACTGGCATGTAGCAAGTGTGAACACATGGCCATTTTTAAGCCTGGTAGGCTTCCACGGGCAAAGAAGAAGTTGAATGCGATGAAGAAGTTGTTGACCCAGGGCATCGAGTCAGCTCCCAGAATTCACCTGCTGACTGATTGTGAAATGGAAGCTGACCATGCTGCAAGGGTTAAAGACTTCTTATGTTCCTGAAGATAACTGAAGGCTTTTTAGGAAGTTCATGTAATAACACTCGGTTGGAGTACTCTATATGACTTGTCAGTTTCTTGTTTGATCTGCTTTTCTTTACTCAAAACCAGTTGGAAGTAGCAAAATAAGAATTACTCAATCCGGTTGTACCGTAAGTAAATTTTAGGACCAGGTTTGTATTTGGATATTCATGCTATGATGTGTTATTGATGAGTGCATCAGTTGATACGGTCCTATGAGATCTGGCTGCTGAACTATACATGTGGTCAGCAAATGGAACCTGAAGCATTTGCAGTTAAGGCTCCAGACAAAGTAATGTGGATTTCTGTCGTTGTTTTTATAATATTTAAATTTGAATGAAGTTTTCTTTTGAGGGGTAAATTTAAATGAAGTTTTGTCGTGCCTCCTTGGAGCATCTCTAGCAAATGCCCATTACAGTGCGGGAAACTGCAGGAAAAAATCGGCCGAATACCGGGAAAAAATCGACCGGACCAGATAACTGTAAAACTTTTCTGGGCGGCCCGTAAAATGCCGGTGTATCTGCTATCTCTACTTCTAATGAAGCAGTTGGTAGTTTCGTTTTCAGGTTATTTTTTCGTCCCACCTCATGTTTTTTTTACCTACTCCCGCCTCCGAGAAAGTCCCGTCCCACCCAAGAAAATCGAACCAAACCTGGTAGCGATGCCTCCAGGCAGTCCACGCGCACGCAAGAAAAACGGACAGAAAAAAAAAACTACGAAAATAAACCGGCGAAAAAAAAACGCCAAACGAATCGCACGGAGCGAACGAGCGAGGCCTCAGGGTGCCCTCGAGCCAGAACCACTCGCAGCAGATCCCTTCGCCGCTGCCCTCGCAGATCATCCCCCCCGCCGATCCATCCCTTCGCCGCCGCCGATCCCTGCGCGTGCGAGGACGATCCACTACAGGAGACGCCGCCGATCCCGTGGAGGACCCGTCGCCGATCCCCTTCAGGAGCCGACGCCGATCCCCTAAGCCGGCGCTGATCCCCGTTGAGGAGCCACCGACAAGATCACTGAGGTTTATTGGGGAGTGCTCATACGCGTGATGGAGAGAAGACAACACGCTTTGCTCCTCCTCCAAGCCTGCAAGTCTGCTTCTTTTCACCACAAGGTACGTGATTCTTATCCCCATGCCGCGTCCTCTTGCGCAAATGCAAATTGTGGTGATATCGTTGGATTTATCAGTTTTGTAGATCAATTCGCATCATATTGTGGTCAGAGTGCCATGTCCGCCCCGTAAGGCTTTATTTGGTAGAAGTGGATTGGGAGGTTTGGGGAGGGGGGGATTTCAGAGGATTGGGTGAATCCCTTCCTTCCACCCAATCCCCTCAAAACCCCTTGAATCCTCAAAATTCCTCCATCCTCAATCCTCTTTGTATAGAAAGTGTTGTTTGGTAGACAGGTTTGCATATATTGATATAAAATGGTGCAGAACATCCAAAAATCCAATCTTTACAAACAAAACAACATCATAGCAGAAAAACTTGCTACAGGTAGAATCCACACACAAACTAAACATGCTGCTATAGAACTGTAGAAGCCTTGTGGTGATTGTCAAGCTCGTGCTAGGTGACGTCACTCTGGCAGCCATCGTGGGAACACTTTATCATTGCCGATGAGACAATATCATCCACTGCAAGGCAGCGGACAAAGCCTCCGATGTGCTCGCAAGTTAGGCACTATCCGCCGGGGAGCTCAGCAAGGCATGTGCCACAAGCTAAATGTCCATCGTTGCACTGCACAAAAGTCAAGATCATAGCAATATGTTAGTACTAATGCTGCCTTTCTCAGGTGAATGGAAAAAAGAATAGGTCTAGCATTTGCCTGTAAGACAGGAGGCGGCTACTTACCAAATCTTAGTTGAGGATGTAACCTGACTAACAAGGGGGATAATCACCATGACCTTTATAAACCAGAAAACACATACAACCACAATACAAAGGATCACCCAATAGCAGCAAGAGAATCGTATGGGAACTACAATCTTATTGGTAAACAGTTAGACATCTCCACAGTAAGGTAGTAGTACTGCATCTTCCTAACAACAACTGCTGACAAAATCCCAAAATTTACAGAAACCATGAGGAACTGATGACAAAAAGATGACCAGAAGACTGAATCTTCATGTCTTGTCCAACAAAAGCAGTACATGCCCAACTTGGAGTAGGATACAGAACAAGCAACAAAATGTGTTAGATCTTATCCGTGAACTGATTAAGTGTTAGAATAAATACGAGGCACACAGTTGATCTACCGAGGACCAAGCAATCACACAAACTTGTTAGAATAAATATGAGGCACACAGTTGATCTACAGAGGACCAAGCAATCACACAAGCACGATACCGAGATTTGTTAACGAGGTTCACCATCGTGGCTACATCCCCGGGGCATGACTACGGGCACTCCTCCCCATGACACCGCTACAATACCGCATCCCGGCCGCCGGGGCGCCGGCACATGCCGTCGGCTCCCCCACGTGCTCGTGCTATTATGTTGGCATAGGTTACATTGTGTGTCTTCCCCCGATATATATGAGAGGCCTAGGATACAAGTGTCCTACTTGGACACGACTCCATATCCTGTCTACACACCGTACGACTCCAAGTTCAACTGTAAGCTAACTTGTACAATAATATTCGACACAACTCTAACATTAAAATTCAGGCAAAGGAAGACTCGGAACAGGCATCTAAGATGAAACATAATCATTCGAACTAGAAACAAATATCTGACTGACGGCGACGACTTGTACAATACAAGGTATAAAGAATGTTTACAAGCACAATTTCATCCAGCCAAACATGTCCAACTGAACGAGCATCTGACCCTAGGTATAAACAGAAATGATGCAAATAAAAATGAATATACACAAAGCTTTGGGATAATATATTTTTTCTAAGCTTGGTAGAATATTGCCAATACAATATCTACAGATTTTGGAGGCTGCTGCTACTGCCTAGGGTCGGCTAACTCTCCATACTTCTGTGTCCACATACTTACCTAACCTATCTATCATCGCATACAATCAATTTGCTTGCTTCAGAATTCCCATTTTAAAAACTGATAAACACCCAAAAAAACTGAGCTCATGGTTGCTACTACAGAACTCATCACAAGTCTTTCGAATTTCATACGAACAGTATCTCTGCATGTTAAATATGCAGCAATCGTCCAGGTTTATCTGAAACTCAGATCATCTTTGAAGAAAAAAGCCATGCTCGCATACAAAAAGTTCAGTGTGGCGTAGGATGGTGGAGCATCGGAGTCGGATTATTTTCATGCGACAGAACATAAATAGGCCAACCTATGTTCTAGTACTCCAGTTTACTCAACGAATTACCACATACTAATGTACACAGATGCACCAAAGTCTTCGTCGTTCACAACAATGGTATATCCACACCCCCAAAATTTACCAGGTTTCAATTGCCAACAAACCAGTAGTGCCAAAAGCATCTAGTAAGTACTATAAGATGGAGCATCTAAACTAGCACCTCTGGGAGAACATGACAGATTCTCATTTGGAAAATAATCATACTCTAAGATAGAGCATCTAAACTAGCACATCTGGGAGAACATGATGGATTCTCATTTAGAAAATAATCATACTCTTGAGATCATAATTCAAAGGCATAACCATGTCATTCTAACATTCTGAAGAAGCTATATGCAGACTGATAAAAGATACTCCCTCCGTCCCATAATGGTAGGACGTTTTTTTGACACTAGTTTAGTGTCAAAAAAGGTCTTACATTATGGGACCGAGGGAGTACAAATTAACAAAATACTAAGATTAGGAGATGCCACGGTGGAGATGGGGCGTCCAGGAGGGCGGCGACTCAAGCAAGGTTGGAGAATATGGACCATGTGGAGCCATGGGTAGGAGATGGCGTGCTTGGCAAGCTCGCCGAGTAGGACGAGGAGAACAGAGGTCTGGACCTCGCAGGAGGCGGCAGCCATGGTGGGTGAAGGTGAGAAACCCTAGGCGAGGGGAATGGAGGGAAAGGGGCGGCGGAGACGTACCTCTGGCGAGAAGGACCGGTTTGTTTGCTGGAGAAGGGACACCGACGTTGCGGCGGCGGCGGAGGCGGCGGCGGCTGCGGTGGCGTGCGGCCTCCTCCCACTCTTTTTCAGTTCGTCACCTCTTTTTCCCCTTCATTCCACGAGCCCCCACTCGGGGCTTCGAAACCACCTACATCAGGGGGAATTCCGGGGATTGCAGGGGGTTCCCTTCCTCCAAACCCCGGCTACCAAACGATTACTCGGGGATTCGTGAGGTTTCTGAGCCTCGCGAGGATAATCCCCTGAAAACCTCCCCAAACCTCTCTTACCAAACGAGGCCTAATGGGCGGTCGCAGCAGCTATTGGTTCTCCTGTGCCATGTCCGCCCATGATACTGCAGGGGATCCACCGTCTGATGATGTTGCCGCCGTTGCGGCGCAGGCCGCAGATCGGAATTCTGCCTGATGGATTCAAACGGCAGATGCTACGGGGCAGCCAGATCGAGTCCCACCCTGAGGGCTCGACCTTCTTGGTCCACGGTTGTGGTCGGTGCGGAACTCAACCCCCCGAAGATGTGCGCAAGGTTGATACAACCGGGGCTGTAAGTGTGTTAGGATAAATTCTCACTCAGATTGCAATTACAACACTCATTAACCAAGATCTGATGGTGTGAGTTAGGAATAATTCGACTTACAACACTTTGTTTTTTTGCAGATCAAGCTTCATGCATGAATTTTTTTGTGTTCTTCGATGCAAGCATATTACATAAAGATACAAGCCAGCTACTAGCTAAAGGAATTTTGTTTGTCTTTGATACGGTTGACCTCTTAGAGGAATTGTCCTTTAGGATAATTTGATTACGTTTCCACGAATATCCGGTAATTTCATCTCTTGTTTCACGAAGTGGGCTCTTCAATCTTCTCAAGCTGATATATTAGGTGTTGGTTTCTTCATCTCTAAAATCAACACTATCTAATAA